CAAGCCACAACCTTCCTAATTTAGTTTCCTGTTACTTACTCTTGCCCTTGCAAGGTTCACAACAACCCCGGTACCCACATTCGAACCTTTTTCTTTCCCGAATTCCTTACTGGTCCCTCCCTTACTTCCAGCTAGCAACCCGGAAGGGTTGGTCTGCCCAGGCTTTAGGTGCCTTACAGTCTCCCTTCCCTTGGTATATGCTTCCAGAGCATATGTCCTTTTCCTCCGGTTGGCGACCTGGCAGTTCAGCTAGTGTGTCCCCCACTTAAGGACCTGGTCACTCAGTTCTATGGTCTCAGTTTCTGGTTCTAAATTCAGTCTTCCTGTAGCATTGTCAAAGTTAAAGAGTATAATTATAAAAGAACTATTTTTGAATATCTTAGTTTGTTGAGTAATAATAATAGTCGTGGCAAAATTAAAGCTAGTTTGGAGATTGTACAAAAGGTCTTTATTGATAGTGGTATGTGGAAAGCACGAACAATTCGATATTTTACAGAATATTGGTTATTTAATGATAAGCTTCCATCATCTAGACATGGAAAACATTAAAAAACAATTAGAATAATCGATAATAAAGATATTGAAATCAAATATCATATTTGGATTAAAAGCCAAAAAAATTATATTTGCTATATTTAAAAAATTTATCAAAGATAAGTTGTTTCCTAGTGTTGGAATTTTGAAAAAAAAACTGTTAGTTTAAAGACCACAGGTAGATGGCTTAAGGTTCTTGGCTATTCATTTTAATGACATCATCAAGGTATATACTATGACAGTCATGAAAGAGAAGATGTTTTAAAATATAGAAAAACTTTTTTAAAAAAAATATTTAAACATGAAAAGTATATATCAAAATATGAAGGTGAGTTTATAGAAAGGATATGTCTTATTTTACCTCAAGGCGAAAAAGAAAGAGTTCTTGTAGTACATGACGAATATATATTTTATTCAAATAATAGTAAACGGGGTGTATGGACTAAAGACAAGAGGATGCCACTATAAAAAAAAGGAAATGGAAGATCAATCATGATTAGTGAATTTCTTACTAAAGTTGATGGACATTTATACTTACAACAATTTAATATAGAAAGATATCCTAATATACCTAAAGAAGCAAGATGTTACTTGATATCTGGTGCAAATTAAGAAGGTTACTGGACTACAAAACACCTTCTTGAACAAATTAAATATAAGGCAATTCCCATTTTTGAGACATTATATCCTGATTGTGTAGCTGTATTCGCTTTCAACAATAGTTCTAATCATAGTACATTTAGTGAAGACACTTTAATTGCAAGTAGGATGAATCTAGGCCCAGATGAAAAGCAACCAATTATGCATGATACTTATTTTGAAGAAAATAATCAATTACAATCGATGGTATTTCCAGAAACAGATTCAGATGTGAAGTTATACAAGGAACTATTTAGTAAATTAGATAAAGAGCTTTAAGGCAAACCTAAAGGTATCAAACAAGTGCTAACAGAATGAGGAAAATGGCCATCTAAAGGGTTAGTTTTAGACTATAAAAAGTGTAAAGAAAAGATTAAAAATACTTCAAGAGTTTCTTGCTATGCACACTATATATTATTTCTAGAACCTGATTTTTTTGCTCAAAAAAATGCAATTGAAAAACTAATTGAAGACACGAGACATAAATGCATCTTTTTTTCCAAATTTCATTGTGAGTTAAACTTTATTGAAAGATATTAGGAGGCTGCTAAAAGACATACACGTGAGAATTGTAATTATTCATGGCAAGGATTACAAAAAACTGTGCCAGAAAGTCTTGAATCGGTGCCTTTAATAACTATTAGAAAATTTTTAAGAAAATGCTAGTGTTATATGAATCTTTATAGAAATGGTCTTAGTGAAAAACTAG